GAGGTGAAATCTCAGTGTTGTTTTCATCTGCATCTCTTGGATGATCAATGATACTGAACATTTTTTCATATATTTATTTGCTGCTTTTACTTCTTTGAGAAATGTCTGTTCATTTCAAATGCCCATTTTTTAATCAGGTCTTTATATTTAAGGGGCCTGATTTTTTTGAGTTCTTTATATATTCTATATAATGGTCTTTTGTCTGAGGAGCAGCTGGTAAAAATTTTTTTCCAAAATTGTAGGTTGTCTCTTAGCTCTGTTGGTGGTTTCTCTTGCAGTGCAGAAGCTTTTTAGTAAGATGAGATCCCAATTGTTGATTGTTTGGGCTAGTTCCCATGCTACTGAGAATTTGTTCATATAGTCTTATCCTATGCCATTGTCTTCAAGAGCTCTGCCTAACTTATCTTGCAGCAAGTTTAGTGTTTCTTTTTTAATATTTAGACCTTTAATCCACTTGGATTTTAGTTTAGTGCACGGTGAAAGATAAGAGTCTAGTTTTAATCTTTGGCAAATTGAAATCCAGTTCTCCAACACAATTTATTAAAGAGGCTATATTTCCTCCACTGAGGATGGTTGGCTCCTTTGTCAAAGATGAGATAGCTGAGTATATCTGGAGTTGTTTCTGAATCTTCAAATCTATTCAACTGATCCCCAGGTCTTTTTCTTTGCCAGTACCATGCTGCTTTTATTACAGTGGCCTTATAGAATAGTTTCAAGTTGAGGATTAAGATATCCCCTGCCATGTCTCTGTTGACTAGAATTGCTTCTGCTATTCTAGGTCTCTTCTGGTTCCAAATGAATTTTTGGATTATTTTCTCTAGTTCTGTGAAATATACTATTGGAATTTCAATATAGACTGTACTGAATCTGTATAGCATTTTTGGTAGTATGGCCATTTTTACTATGTTGATTCTTCCTACCCAGGAGCAGGGGATATCTTTCCATTTTCTTATATCCTCTTCAATCTCTTTTTTCAGAGTGCTGTAGTTTTCAGTGTAGAAATCTTTTGCTCCTTTCATTAGATTGATTCCTAGATACTTCATTTTTTGGGATGCTATTGTGAAGGGAATTGTTTCCTTAGTTTCTCCTCAGTGAGTCTGTTATTTGTGTTAAAAAAACCTATTGATTTTTGAGTGTTTACTTTGTATCCAACTACTCTCCTGTAAGTGTCAATTGGCAGTTTTTTGGGTCTTCTGTGTAGGATATCATATTGTCAGCAAATAACATCTTCCTTTCTTATCTTTATTGCTTTAATTTCTTTCTCTTGTCTAATTGCTGTGGCTAATGTTTCCAGAACTATATTGAACAGCAGTGGTGATATTGGGCATCCTTGTCTTGTTCCTGATTTTAACATGAAGGTTTTCAGTTTTTGACCATTTAATATGATGGTGGTTATTGGTTTGTCACAGATAGCCTTTATCAAGTTGAGATAAAGACCATCTATCCCAATTTTCTTCAGGGTTTTTATCATGAATGTGTGTTGAATTTTGTTGAATGCTTTTTCTGTATCTATTGAGATGATCATATGGTTTTTGTCCTTGACTCTGTTAATATAGTGTATTACATTTATTGATTTACATATGTTGAACCATCCTTGCATTCCTGCAATAAATTCGAGTTGGTCACGGTGTATGATCACTTGATGACTCTCTGTATTCTGTTTGCCATTATCTTATTGAGGATTTTTGCATCTGTGTTCATTAAGGAGATTGGCCTGTAGTTCTCTTTATGGTTGGGTCTTTCCCTGGTTTGGGAATCAAAGTAACACTTGCTTCCAGGAATGAATTTGGAAGTATTACTTCACTTTCAATTTCATTGAAAATTTTAAAAATTAGTGGCAGTAGTTCTTCTCTAAATGTCTTGTGGAATTCACCAGTAAATCCATCAGGACCTGGGCTTTTCAATGGTAAACTTTTAATTATGTTTTCAATTTCACTGATTGTAACTGGGGTGTTGTGTTTAGAATTTTTTTATCTTCTTCACTCAAGTTTGGTAATTCAAAAGTATCAAGAAATCTACCCATTTCTTCTGTGTTTTCCATTTTATTAGAGTACAGGTTCTTGAAATAGGTATTGATGAGCCTCTGGACTTCTGCTGGATCTGTTGTGACTTCACCTTTTTTGTTCCTAGTTGTATGGGTATGAGTCTTTTCTTTCCTTTTTTTGACCATTACTTTTCCATCTTGATCTAGTTGTGCTTCTATAACAAAATACCTGAGACTGAGCAATTTATAAATATTATAAATTCTCACAGTTCTGGAGAGTAGGAAGCCCAGAATTAGGCAGTGACAGGTTCTTTGTCTGGTGAGTCAGGACAAGATGTTTCCAAATGTTGGCACCTTGCTGTCTTAGCGGGAGGAGGCCAACTCTGTGTTCTCACAAAGTGGAAGGCAAAAAAAGGACAAAAGGAGGCTAGCTTGTCCTGTTCAGCCCTTTTATAAGGTACTACTCCCAGCCATGAGGGCATCACCTCCTAAATCTTTCATTACTGTTGTATTTGGGATTGAGTTTCAGTATGAATTTGGAGAGAACACAGATATTCAGGCCATAACACTGTGTAAATATTAATTTCCTAATGTAAAAAAATCAGCATGCTGAGGGTATAGTTTAGTGTGTATTTTCTTATCATGCATGAGGTTCTGGGTTCAATTCATAACTCCAAAAGATATTAAATAATAGCATCTACTATTTTCTATATTAGACACCTATATTAAATTAGTTAACTAGTATAGACCTGGCTCACAGAAAGGTTCATTAAAAACCAAGTTCCTTGATCATACCAAGCATTCTGTCTTTAATTGTATCTTTCAAGATGTGCTTCTATCTGTTAGACCACATTTGCACATCACTCTCATCTCATAAATACTCATTCGTCCTTCTCATCTCAGTGGAAAAATTAAGGAAGCCTTGAATCTTTGGTTTAATTAGGTTCCATTCAGTATTACTATATGCCTTCCTCACTAGGATTCTTATGGACCAATTATTTAACAATCCTTATTGCTGCAAAGTGGATGTAATAATGGCAACTACCATTGTTGGAATACATTTTATGATACTGGAAGTTATATATGAGATTGAAGGAATGAAAGGTATCAGAGATGGCCTTTAGGTTTTTCTGAATGGTGTAACTTCTTGGGTGATGAAGCCCTTACAGATACTAGAGTCACCCAATCAGAAGTGATATACAGGTCATTGCCTTAGAGTCTGGCACTACGTGATAACATTTCAGAAGTAGTACCTGCAGTTGCAATTTCAGGAGGAAAGAAACTAAAGCTCAGCATGTTAAACAGTCTGTTTAAAAGAATCCCTATGACCACATTGTGATTCTGGATCATTGCAGTTATTCAGAGTGTCAATTTAAATAAATCCGGTTTTATTATGGAAATAATAGCTCTTTTTACAGATACTTCTTAATTTACAGAAATATAACTCCAGGAGATTGATTACAAACCCATTGCTTTTTAAAACCAACATTTAAATCAAAAGATGGGCTTTGTTTACAGTTGTGATATGCAGAAATTACATGCTTTGATACAAAATTTATGATATAATCTCTGATAGGATATAAGCTAAAAGTTTGCAAGTAAAAGCCTTTTTGTGTTAATACATTTTATTTTATGTATGCAAATACACACTGTACAATGTCACTTCTTGCTCCATCTCTGTTTTATCCCACACCAATACTCTGCTCAGAATGATGAGGACAGATGAGCAAATCTGTGTGGGCAATAGAAGACAGTCTCCCCACCCAACTCTTTATGCCTCTTGATATTTTCCCCCAGAGTGGTCTCATTACAGCCACTGAACTTCCCTCCCTCCATGACCCTATCACTCCATCATCCCAATTTAACCCAGTCTTGGAGCAAAATGCCTTTGCTGATGCATTTTTCAAGTATTTCTGACTTGCACTTACAGCAGGAATTTCTCCAAATCTTTAATTTGCCTCTGTATGGTATACTCAAAGTGCCCTCAAGATATTAAGTAGCCCCCTTTTCCTCCACTTTGGCTCTTGGTCAACATTTCTGAAATAATAAAGTCTTTCCACAGAATTAGTATCTCATTTTGTGGATGAAGAAATCGAGACTGCTAATTAAATAATCCATCCTCGGGCATACGGTGAGAAAATGGAGACACTACTTTCTCTATCCACATTAGTCAGACTCTGAAGGCCATATCATTCAGTAGCATGTGACAGCATGTCCCCTATGCTACATTCTACTTTATTAGCAAGAGAGAGCATTATGGGGTCAGGATTTAGCTCAGCAGCACAGCACTTGCCTTGCAAGCATGAGGTCCTGAGTTCAATCGAGAGAGAGAGAGAGAGAATATGAATTATGAACTAGATTTCTACTTGAGTGAAAACGCAGACACATGGATTTAAGGAGCAAAAGAGTTAAAAGCCTTGATTGGAACAGCTCTGGCATAACCTCTTTTCAGGGATATCTCTAGGATAACCTCTTGAGCAAACTTCTAAAGGAATCCTCCAGCCAGTCCTTAGGGTGGAGACAACCTGACAACGGTTATAGTTGTTGAGGAGAAATTGGAACATAAAACTAAATCACTGAAGGACATAGATGGATCTTGTAAATTATCATCTTAAGTATGTTTGGAAGTATTAAGCCTTGGAGGATAGAAGAGGAAAAGGTGATAATGATTATAGTTCATATTTCAGGCCATCTGCTATAAGACAAAACTGTTAATTGCTTTGTATACTTTCTTGAAGGACATACTTCTATTTTTATTTAAAAGCAAATAGTGATAGTTTAGAAATGTTTTAGAACTTGAACAAAGGCATTCAGCTCAAAGAAATGGCAAGGATTTTTTTTAAATGTTTTTATCTTTATAAAGCAAAGTTTGGATTTGTCACGGTCTTTGTTTTGGTTTGGTTTTGGTTCTGGGGATTACGCAAAACTTACATTGTGCAAGAGCTTGCTTTTTTTCTGATTCAGGTGTTAACAGAAAAAATTAAATGATTAAAGATATTTTTCTTTTGTTTTACAGAATAAAAGAAATATGGATCAGACTCCAAAAAGGCAAATGCTTCTGAACCTTCAAAGATGGCAAAATTGTTTACACCAGTGCAAGGGAGATCAAAAGCTACGAACTACCCTGTAGCCAGGACTACAACTGGGTACTTTAAAGCCATTATTCAAGGTTTCTTACTTGACAGTTCCTACATGACCGGTGACAGTTCCTACAGTATATGCTGCATTTAATGAAATGTGTATATTCAAACCAGAAGAGAACTATAAACATATATTGTGTAAAGAAAAAAAGTGAGCAATGGAACCAGTTTTAGCAGATCAAGTAAAGATGTGTCTTGGGCATGGAACCAAAGTTACAATGAAACATTCAACCCCTGCCGTGCAGGGGGTCATTTTAATGTAACACCATACTCCATGGAAACACTAGTCTTGAAAATAAACATCACTTAAAAAAATCAAAGCAAAACAAAAAACAAATGTGGGTGGGAAATGAAGCACGAGGAATACCTATGAAGAGATATTTACAATAAAATGTTTCATTTGAAAAGTCTGGTTTCTTACTACAGGGATTTGCTTTTCAGTCTTTAGGATTGTTTTAAACTCAGGAACACAGACACCTGCAATGTGAACAGAAGAAAGTCACTCTGTTTTGCTTTTCTACGAAAGATGGAGCTGGTGGAATGCATCCCACAGACAGACAAGTGGATCAGTGAACCTAACTGAACTGGCAACCAAGTCAAAGGACTCTAGTGACTGTAACATGAGACATAAATGCAGAGTTGATGCTATTCTGTTCTCTCACATCTGCATTCCTCTGCCAACAATGGACTAATCTCATTCATATTGAAAATTAAGACGATACTTTACATCATAAGCTCCCTGACTTAGTTCTGTTTAGAACACCAACATCTATAGGGAATGTGGGCCAGAGAGCACCTCTGAACCTTCAATTTTCAGAATAGTTGTTTTCAATTTTAAATTGCCTGCAAATGAACATCCTACATAATTTGGGTTAAAACATCATAGAGGTGATGAGTAAATTTCTACCAACATTTGGGCTTGCCACAGAAATGTGAATATTAAAATATCTTGCTACACCTAGAGCAGTCTGACCTCTTGTCATTTACAGTGATAACATTTTTCCCAGACAGCTGAAAGCAAATAGCTCTACTTTTTTATATAGAGGTAACACAATCTGCTAAGGTTGTTTTCTACCAGAGACTATTAAAGACTGGTACTTTTCCTATATTATTATATTATATATTGCTGAGTCTTAGATTCAGCTCTAAGAGCAAATATGTGTTCCTGAAAAGCTAATTTTACACCTCATTTACTGTAGATAACAAGACAACCTCAATTTTTCAAATTTTCAAGATTTTACTAATGGGGCTAGAATCCTTGCATAGGGAATGTGTGTAGGGAGCCAGAAACTCTTTCTATGAAATGTTACACAAATCTTTCCATATGTGAGTTCAGTATCTTATGCTTTGTTTTAACACTGGCATTTTCAAAGCCAGGACAATACCTGAAGAATCTACAAGAAAAACTGGAACACTAAGGTCCCACTTTTGTCCTTGTATTTACTGCTGACCCAGGTATCTTTGGCCCAGTCACTTAACCTCTCTGTGCCTCAGTTTCCTCATCTGCAAAATGGGGTTCAAATGCTTTTTCATAGTTTTATTTGCAATTCTAGAACAAGAGGTGCTTAAAGTAGCACAAAGTGCTTTGTAATTATTATAACTGCTGTATTATTTGACTTTCTTGTGTGGCTGAGAAAAAGATTCCCCCATGTAATAAAATAGAGCTCTAGTTTGGTTAAATGTAAACATTGCAGCACTGAAGCTTTACCATCAAGCTACGTGGGACATTATTAGCAATAAAGATTAAGAGATCAAAAGCAAGATCTCTAATAATCTATAGCAAATAGATCATCTCATGTTACTGAACACAACAGAAGAGTGTCATTTCAATGACAAAAATACCCCAGCTTTCTGGATCACATCATTCTCCTTCCTGATTGACATGTATGCCAACAAACAGAACACCACTTTGATCATAAGAGAGCCAACCATGAAATGAAGGCTTGGAGAGAGTTGACAGTAGCACATAATCTACCTGTTTATCTCTTTCTTTTTGGGAAAAGGCTGAGTACAAGGAACGTACAAAACTCTGCTGCTGGATTCTGTGTTCAACGAGGTAGGTTCCAGATTCAATATGAACACTGGTTCATTGTGCAGGAAATATGAAACAGGGTAACTTCTACGACGTCTGTTATTCAACCCCAGCAAACTTCAGTCAAAATATGGAAAAGGGTAAATTCCCATACCAGTCTCAGACTTCACTCTTCAGTTTTTCTTCTCTTACCATTCCACAGCCCATCTGAGAAAATTCATACTCCATCTGCTCCACCTAACATATCTTCATTCTCTTCACTGCCTTTCCCCATCAAGAAATTTGCAGTTTAAAATTCATATCCAAGAGCTGTTTTGTGATAATAAATATTTGCAAAAATAAGGTGGCTTGATTACATGCTTTATATGCTTATCTGCTAATAATTGGATAGTATCATATACCAGGACATATGACACATCACCTAGCATGATCCTCTAAGTAATGTTGATGAGTCCAGGCCAAGGGCAAAAGGAGGGATTATCTCCTTTTGAATAAGATCCAGGAGAAGAAGTTCCTCTAGATTTTAAACTAAATGGTAACATTACCAAATCTTACTAATGATCCTCGAAGTTAACACTTAATAAGTTGATAGACAAATCTATTATTCATTTCCACAACTATAAAAGCATCAGGTAAACTGTAGATGTATGTTCTAGGTTTTCATGAATCCATGGAAATGGTCCATATCTAGCTGAAAACTTCCTTTGCATATAATGAGAACAATATCTTGTTAAAATGGAGAGGCCTACTATGGGTCCACTTCTTAGGGAAAAAAAAAACAAAAACAGAATTCTCACTCTGTTCCTTAATTTATGCATCTGTTTGGTCAGTAAGTTAGTAGGAATCAAAGCAATCAAGAATCATTTATATAATTGTTCTCAGCAAAGTATTCATTCATCCCTTGGAAAATAGCTTAATGGACTAGTTAAAATAGTTTGAAATCAGTGAAAGTCCCAATTTATCACAGTTACTCTGGACTGAAAACTTTCCACGAAAGGAAGGAAATGGAAAGCTTTATTTGACTACTATAATAGAAAGCAATAGCAAAATGTTGTATTTTTAAAAATACCATCTAACTTTCATTTCAGGAGACAGAATATGATGAAAAAATCATATCTCTTTTAACTTATGTCAAAGAAGTTAAATGCCCCTATTAAGATTTGAGGAGAAGGAAAATAAATTTGGCTCAAATTTTTCTTCAATCCACAAGTAACTATTCATGCAAGTAGGATGTTTCTTCCCAACTCAAGAATAGAGTATAGAAAAGGCAAAAGTAGACAGGGAACATTGGTTTTCCATCTGGAACAGAAGAGAAAAAGTTTGCCAAATAATTTTGCAACTTTTTAATTTCAAAATATTTATTGATGGTTTTGAAAATAAATCTCTGGCAAACTTGTTCTTTTCTGCCTATTATAAACTCTTTTTCTGTAAACTCATTGAGTAATTTGTATGTTCATGTCTTCTGTACAATTTGTAAGTCTGTTACTTTAAAGTGATGCATGTCTTTTCAACCTGCCTGGTTTTTCCTAGAAATTGTAAAAGGAGAATATTATTACTTGTGTATTAATGCTTAAATAACTGGGTAATCTGTGTTATATTATATCAAAGAAGATGAACAGAATAGACATTTTATTTTTAAAATGCTTAATTGCATTGTTTTGCTCTGTCAAAGAGTAGCACAGAATACACACACACACACACACACACACACACAAATAAAAATTGGCTATATTGCTGGAGGTTGCATTGCTTGTTGGCCTTTGTAAAATTGTCATAACAAACCTCTAAGAACTTATAATAGCTTTTGACAATTTAATTCAGCATTCAGTCATTTAAATGTATCTCCAAATTGAAAAAATTTCAACATAACTTTAGAAAGACTAGTAGTAAAAATAGATCTTATATGTCATGAGTTACTGCTTCCTGGTTGGGCTCAAGCTTTTCTTTAAGTAAACATCAACGTTGTAATGATGGAAAAATAAGTTACAATCTTAAAAGAGGGAAGCTTTCATTTTGTCTAACTGCCTTGTCATTTCTATATGATTTAGCATCTTGTAACTGAACTTCATGCATACTGGCAAGAAGACTAGAATAATGGATGGTTGGAGTTGGTCCTTATAAGGCTTCTTCAAGTGCCAAACTATAATTCCAGTCCAGAAATGGGCAGGGCAGTTTTACATTCCTTTGCTGTCTTTAGTTGGCAGTTTAGTTCTTCCTAAATAAGTCTATTGTTGAGAGTCCAAGTCCAATGTTCAATCAGAATTACTAATGATAAACTTTAAGGGGCAATGTGGCAAAAATTGGGGTATAATTTACTATATTCAACCTAACATGTTAACTCTGAAGTGGCTGATTTGGTAAGGTTTCCTGTTTCTCTTATTGTTTATATAAAGGTCTTTGCATATATTTCCAACTTTCTTATATGCAACTGTTATAGTGTGGAAAAGGTACAGACATACAACTTGAATCCAATTTTGTCTACAATGATGATGCTATCAGGTAAGGAGCAGATGATGCAATTTCCTGACCAAAAGCAAATCCCAGGATCTATTAATAATAGCAATCATTTATATTTGACAAAGTCTCACAAAATGTGCCTGTTTCTTCTATTAACCCATAATGAGGCAGATCAAAATCCAAACATTTTTATAAATGTGTGATGTACATATATATACACATATATATTCTGTACAGAGAATGATGGTGCGAGCGCTCACTCGATGTGTACTTCTGCCCTAGAATCGAGAATTTAAGATGATTTGATGCTCACTGGGAAGCTCATGTTCTTTTGTTTAGCTAGTATCTGTGTGCATCACCTCCTTGCTTGCCTCTTCTATCTGCTACTCTGCCTTATGTCCATTACTACTATTTCCTATTGTTGACAATGGTAGAGAACTCATTGAATTTCCAACTCTCCAGGGCCATAAGCCAGCATTTTTGTTTGTATTGGAAGAGCAACAAAAAATCCAGCACAATCTACAGTATTAAAATCAGCGAAAGTTTCTATATCTTTCTTGACTAAGAATCTCATCCCAAGAAAAGTTCATGCATGATTTAAATTTTCAGCATCCAATTCTGTGGGGACTCAAGTACAGAGTTAATGTGTTTGAACACAAAATTCCTCAGATGACTACTGTATTAATGTAGCCAGGGGTCAGTGTCTCAAAACTGTCCTCCAATCAACTGCACCAGTTGGGGCTCTTTCCATCTCATTAGCATGATTCCATCTACTGCTTCAGTGCTTGTTAATTAATGAAAGAAAGATGCAAACTGACTGAACTGCACCATAATGGTCCTCTGAAGTACACCAGACATGTACATGTACTGTATGTAATATCATAGAGATTGGAATCAAGATATTGTATGTAAAGTTTTATGAATGGTTATTTTATAATTTATGTATTTAATATAGGAACCAATGAACTCTGGTGTTTTAGTTTCTATAAAAATAAAACAAGCTGCATTTTTTAAACTTTATCTTGTGTTGTTTATGAGGTATTTTAGCTTCTGTTTTGCTTTAACCTCATACCTACTTTATTTATTTATTTATTCTCTCATTGGGTTTACTGGTACATTTTAGGTATACAGTACAGTTACAGTAATCATTGGGACCTTGTACCTTTACATGACAGGTCTTGGTTCTCATTTTTCCCCCTTGTCCCTGCCCTCCCATCACGCCCCGACCCTCCCATTTACAAACACTTTATTTCCATTTTCTCATATTTTTTCCTTTTCCCTACCCTTCCCACTTTCCCTACACCGTTAGCCCTTTTCTTCCTATTCCACATTGTCAATTATCTCATTGGGACCTTATGTACTATTATAGTTTTTCACACCAGAGAAACTATTTGGTATTTACATGTGTGACTTATTTATTTCACTTAGGAGTATATCCTCAATATGTATCCATCATACCTACTTTGTAAGAGCAGGATAAGGCAAATCAGAGCTATCAATCTAATGTCAATAAATAAACTCTACATCAAGGACAGCAAATATATTTTCTCTCATCTCTCTACTTTGAAACTTTGAATTTTTATTGGGCCTGCCATAGATACTCAGAAATGGGGGCCAAGGCAGAATGAACACTCATGGGAAAGTAACTATGATCATTAGTATCCTTGTTCTGAGAGTAGTTTGGGAGAGAGTCTTGCTGGCTATTTGCCATTCTTACTCTAGACATTACTTTCCTTCACCTATGCATGCACCTTTATTCTCAATCTTGTAGGATCATGATACTTAACAAGTTAATGAGTGTGTGTTAATGTGAGCATTCATTATATGCCCATTTGTATAGTCTCTCATATGAGTCTGCTCTCAAGAACCTCACAGCCTAATATGGGAAATATCTTATGTATTCATGAAGCAATGGAACAATAATGCACAATATGAAGTAAAATTTTGTACGTCCATGTGTGAGCTTTATGTTGTTTTTAAAAAGTAACTAAGATAATCACTTTGTAAAAAGAAGATATTTATTTTGCCTCACCATACTTGAAGCTTCATTCCATTAATGTCTGGGCCTGTGGTGAGGCAATGCATCTTGCTGGGGAGACTATGGTGAACTAAAAGCTCATTCACCTCAAGGCCCCGTCACTCAAAGGGTCCCATAATCCCATTTGATGGCACACCCCCAGTGACCTGGTATCTCCCACTGGGCTGCACATCTTAAAGACACCATAAGCAGGGGATCAAGCCCTCAGTGTATGGAACTTTGGAGGATATTGCAGATTCAAACTATAACACTCAAAAATATGCAAAATAAATATTAGCATTTGAGGGAATCAAAGAGATTTCTGCTAAGATTTCTTATTCTAATTGTAACCCTTTATATTACAATGCTCTGCCTTCATGGGAACCACTTATGTGTCAGAACCTATATTAAATTTTAAAGACAGAGAAGAATAAGATATATCCCAGATGTTGGACATCAAATGCATAAATAAATCTAATATCTAGTCGTATCAATTCTATTTTTATTTCCTTTATGTTGCTGTTAGCCTTAAATTTTATAATTTTTTCTTTTATTTACACCACTTGAGTTTTTTTAACAACCACTAGATATGAGGTCAGTATAAAAAATGCATAATAAATGTTTTTGAGCCACTTCAAAAATATATACAGAAGACAAATTTTCACACCTCAGAAATAAGGCAACATGATGAGCATCTTTATAATTTCTCTTTAGAATGTTTTCTAACATGTCAACAGGGAAGTACAATAATATAGGGGAGCTCAGATTAACCCTATAAAGTTGGAGGTAGGGGAAAGGAAAGAAGGGAAAAGAAAAAATATGAGAAAAGGAAAAAAGGAAACAAAGTCTTTGTAAATAAGGAAGGGTGGAGGGGGTGAAGGGAGGGCAGGGGTATGGGGAAAAAGTAAGAACCAAGATGCATCATGTAAAGGTACAGGATCCCAATGATGAATGTAACTGTACTGTATACTTAAAAAGTACCAATAAACTCAATGAGGAAAAAATGTTAGAGATTTACTTATAGAAAATCAGTAAGATGTGTTACACTTGTTCAATCTGACAGGGCAAAATAAACCAAGCAAATAGATATTGGGTTTTCTCCCATAAACACATTACCCAATTTTGTTTCTAGCGTATCACTTTCATCTTAATACATCTTTCCCCATTCTTCAATTTCTTCTTAAAGCAGCTCAATCATACTGCTGGCTCCTTTAATTAATGGCGTACATAAAAGTTAGATATATAATCATTTGTTTTTATGAGAATGACATTTTTAACATTTTGCTAAGAAATCTTAGGCTATTCTAAGGGATACTGAGGTGGAAAAGTCTTGATCCTAATTTTCATTAAGATAGATAGGGCCAGGGATTTAGCTCAGCGGTTCGGTGGCCTGCGGAGTTCAATCCCCGGTACCAAAAAAAAAAAGATAGATAAGGTTGTGACTATGAAATAGAAGTCAATATAGGATGATTTAAACCAATGAAGAACTACAAGGTGCTAAGTATCCTGAGTTAATTTTTCATTCCACGTATGTTTCTTCTCCTTTGTCCCACAATTCAATGATAGATTCTTCACGGAATTATGTAGAGTTCATAAACTTCATTCTTCTCTTTTTTTCTCTCACATTGTGCTTCTAAATCTTCAAAAATTCCATCTGCTCTAGTTGTTCAATGTATACTCTATTCTCACTCACATGTACTCTGCATTTCTTGATTGAACTCTTACAGTAGCTTCCTGCTTGAATTAATGAATTTCAGGTTTGCCTTTCAAAGCATGCTCTACTTGTTTTCAGCTTGATTTAATGGGCAAATCATACCAAGTTTTCTTCTTAACAGTTCCCCATTGCCTTTCTATAGTGAACTTTCAAATGCTTATGAGAACTAAGCATTTTACATCTCATCTTTCTACCACACATGTATACGAACATGCACCCAGACCTTGGCAGGCTATACAGGCTGCAGCTCTGGATTTCGTTTTATGTTATTTTTTTATGGCCAAGGAATGTTCTCTTATTTTCCATACCTAAATAAATTTTATTCATGCTTGAATTTTATTTTATTTTATTTTTTTGTACCAGAGATCAAACTCAGGTCCTTATGCTTGTGAGGCAGACGGCAGCACCACTGAGCTAAATCTCTACCCCATACTTGAAGATTTAACTTAGCCAAAATCTTCTTCAAGAATTAGACAAAATAACTTTTGTGTTCTCAAAGAATACTCTTTTTGTTTTTCACACAGGAGAAACT